AGACACAAAGATGTCAACCGCTGAGGCCACTTTTTGGCCGAGAGAACTGCTGGAGCTGCTGGAGCCCATGGTAGGGCCAGACCGGTCGGCAGTGCTGACTGTGCACGGCCTGAAGGCCACGATGTTGAGCTGGGCGGCAAAGAGCATGTTGTTCACCCCAGAGGAGCAACTGGCGCTTGGACACCATGTGAGCTCTCACTACAAGTCTGCCTTGATCTACTCTCGTGATAATCAGATTGGCCTTTGCAAAAAGATTTATGACATGATGGACAAGATCAAAGCAGGTACTTTCAACCCCGATGGCAGCCGCGTTCAGAGGTTGCTGCAACTAACGATGGCCAGGGCCCAAGAGTTGCAGTCAGATGATGACAGTGACACTTCATCTACCTCCACTGACGCTTCAAGTGTGGCTTCATCAGAGGGGGAGCACCGTGAGCCGGAACCGTCCTCTTTCAGACGGTTGGATGCAGCAGACATTGACCGAGACCACTGCTTCATCAACACAAGATCCAGGGTCGTTCACTTGCAGCTTCTGGGTCAACAAAAATTTTGGTGTGGAAGATGTGCCTCCTCATCGTTCAGGAAGGCATCCAGAGATGATTTAGCAAACGCAGAGACTGTGATTTGCGCCAGCTGCTCACACTCTTTCAGAGCGGCGAACCCAGACGATGCAACCTAAATGAACTCCAATTGAGGCAGTTCCGGCATTCCAGAAAGCCTGCATAGAAGATGCACTTTCTGTTGCGCTGCAGATAGAAAAAGGTTCAGCTTCAAGAGTCGTTTTAATTTGTTTCTTGTTGAATCGAATTTGAGTGCAACCAAATGCATCATTTCAGACCAAGTTGCAACGTGTCATCCACGCCAACCCACACCATGTCCAAAATTGCATTTCAAACCGGACCCATCGCAGGACCAATCAACAAGAACCCGATGCCTAACATGTTTCATTTGCATGTGGCAGAGGTCAATTTTGAAATGTCCTTGAGATTGGAATCATCCGAGTTCATTTGCAATTTCTTAGCTGAGCTGCGTGAACACCACGGCATTGCACAAAATTTTAACTTGGTACTTCAAGTTGCTTTGCTAACCAATCTCAGTGTGAATTTTTTTTGTCACACTCCATCGGACACTCGTGTGTTTTGGTTTTCTTCAATCCTTCACTCCCCCAACCTTAATTTGTTGTGGATTTTCAACTGGCATCAATAGCCAAATTGTACTTGTTCAGCTGGCCCTCCTTGGGCACCTTGTCGCGAGCTCAATGGCAATAGATTCCAAAGTTGCTTTCGCAAATCGCGCACTGGAACTTGGAATTACGGAAGCTGAAATTGATGCGCTGAAAGGAGTCAACATAACCAGTTATGCTACTTATGCTTACTGTTGCAATTTTCAACCTGGTCAAGCTGACGATGCACCCCTGACAGCTTTCTTGACCACAACGCTGGGAGCCGAGCCTTCAGCTTCAGTTGCATCGAAGTTTCGTAGGCTGTTTTTCGAAGCGCATGCACTTTCACTTGAAGACTTGAAATCTAGGGCAGAACGATCTGAGTCCAGTGAAGCTCAGGTCATTCCTTTGGCAGAAAAGATGGATAGGATCAGGCTCCAAAAGGAGCGACTTGCTGGCATAAGTTTTACCCCGCAATCAGAGCCTTCACATAGCCTTATTGACAAGGTGTGCAAGCAGCTCGATGACAACGTTGTGTCCTACATTGAACTTCAGAAATGCACTTCGAGACAAGATGAAACTTTGCATGCCAAGACAGACACTGCCTTGTCTTTGGACCTGTCAGGGAGCCTGAAACTCAACAAAAGGCAAAAGTTGGAAGATACAAACGTGACAGGAGAACACCGCCTCAGACAGGCATTCTTACGTAGGAACCTTGCCTACGACCTAGCTGGGATTGGCACCTTTTCAGTGATGGGTTTGTGGACGCAGAAGCTCTTTGAGAAGATGAATGGGGCCCCTTTGGCGAATTACCGCAGTATTTCAGCTGAGCAAATTCTCAACGCTGACAAGACTCTTTGGGCTAAGCTGTCAAACGAAACCAGAGGACAGCTTCAGCCCAAAACTGGAGACCCAAAGGCCTTTGACACAGCCTTTCAGAAGTTTTCTGAGCACCCTGAAGTACTGCAGCACATGTGTCTGTTACAGAGCAGCGCATCATCCAGACCTGAGCAAGGGGCGAGCTTTTCCCATTCAGCAAAGGGAAAAGGTCAACATTTCTCAGAAGGCAAAGGCAAACATGGCAGGGGCAAATCAAAGGCGCCTGGTCCTGGGATTCAAGTTCCAGATAATTGTGAGATTTTTGTCGATGGAGAACAATTGAGCAAGCGTTGGCAGATTGGACGATGCACTGCGAAGGTTAAGCCAGGGAAGAGATGCATGGTTGGTTATCATATGTGTTGGAAAAAGGGATGCCACAAGAACCACCCGGGCAATGAGTAATGAGTGCCCAATCTGACACTTGCAAACGAAGGAGCAGTTGAATTTCACCCCTACACATTTTGTGGAGGATGCAGTTTTCACCTTGCAACCAGTGACTATAGAAGTTTGTTGTGGGTCAGCGGGACTGTCTTCCGCCTTAAGGCGCTTGGGTTTCCATGTCCATGCAATCGACCACTCGGCCAACCGGCACTCACCAAAGGTTAGAACGCTGGTTTTGGATGTTTCAAATCTGCAGCAGCTGCAGTTACTGGAGTCAATGATAAAGTTTGTCAAGCCATGCTATATACACCTGGGCTTACCGTGCGGAACGTGTCCAAGAGCAAGAGAGAAGCCCATGCCTAAAAGCATGGGCGGGCACATGGGCCCTCAACCTTTGAGGGATGCTGACAACTTGTTGGGTCTGCCTCACCTTTGTGGGGCTGACCTGACCAAGGTGACCTTGGCAAACCAGCTCTACCGCGCTGCAATTGTCATTCTACAACTGTGTTTTGTTTTGGGCTGCCTGGTATCCATAGAGAACCCCGGCCGCTCCTGGTTGTGGCCGCTGCTGGCGCTCCTGGTTCATGAAACTCAGGATCAACCTTTTACTCAATGGTTTTCGAAATTGGAGGCAGTTTATTTCGATGCTTGTGCGCATGGCAGCTCAAGGGACAAACGCACTAAGCTGCTTGCCACGAGCGACCTTTTTTCCACCCTGGCGATTGACTGCTCTGGGGACCATCAGCATGCATCCTGGCAACCTTTCCGTGGCGAGCATGTTGTTTTTCCAACAGCGATGGAGGCTGAATATCCTCCGCTGCTATGCAACCGTATGGCTGAATGTGTGCGACAGTCAGCAGCACACATGGGTGTTATCCCAAGCCTTCAACCACGCTTGAAGGAGCTGCTCAACCTGAGTTTGGGGCATCAGACCTTGCGGCATGAGCCATTGATTCCAGAGTATGCAACGGTTTTTTCAAACAGATGCTCCCATTCAACATGAATCACATAAACTCCTGTCAGCTCCTTTTTCACAGGGGCACCATAGCACTGAGCAGCCAGAAGGAACACAGGAACACAAGTCAAAGAGACCGCGAAAGGAGTTTAAATATGGGGTGTGGCATACACCCGAACAGTTCCTGACTAGAGCTGAAGCTGTTGTTCACCCCATGGACAATGAATCCTTTCTGCATGTGGCTACAAAGGATGCTATCAAGAAAGTGGTCAGAACTGACCCTCTGGTATTGGCACAGGAGCGCTTGGCCACCGTTTTCAACCTGCGTAAATTCACAAACGAACTCAATTGCCAAGAGTTGGCACTCAAGGACACAATGCACCCAGATGTCAAAAGATGCACAGCGTCCAAGAACATCCTCCTTTTCGAGCACGTCCTTAAACAGCTTGGCTTTGGGATATGGAGGTTGTTTCCCTGTTGAAGCAGGGAATTCCCCTGGTTGGGTTGCAAGCGGCCCCTAATGGATACAGAGAGCAGCTGGTGCCAGCATCCATCACAGAGGACGAGTTGCTACAATCAGCAGCTTGGAGGCGTAAGTCTCTGATGTGTCAATCCAAGCGCTTCAAACCTGAAGAGGAAGCCGCTCTCCTCGAGACCACGGCTGAAGAAGTGGCAAAGGGTTTTTTGGAGGGGCCGTATTCAGAACAGGAAATTTCCGTTTTGTTGGAAACCGAAGACTGGTCCCTCAGCCCGCGTTTCGTCCTCTTCCAGGGCACTGGCGGCAAGATCAGAGTGATAGATGATGCAAAGAAGAGCTCGGTCAATGCAGCTTACAGTTCCACCGTCAAGTTGCAGCTCCAGGATGTGGACTATGCGGCTAACATGGTTCTGTTTTGCTGGAACTCTTCGAAGAAGATGAAAGCCTTATTTCCCAAGCAAGCAAATTTTTGTTTAGCCAAACATTTGGCTAAGAAACAAAAAAGGTGCACAAACTTCTGGCATATCTTCTAGAGTATTTCTAGAAAGCATCTGACAAATTTGGTCAAACCTTTTTGACACCAACTCATTGTCCAACTCCGTATTTCATTGACAATTTTATAACACAAACTGTCAAACTTATTTAAACAGTCACACTGTGATCAATTAAATCATTTCAGTTGCGTCACTTGCATCTAATCTGCCTGATGTCAAGTATATATATCTCTGCAACTGTGATCATTCAAGGTGTGGGTGGGTAGGGCTCCTCAAACATTTTCATGAGGATTCAAAAATTGCATTGGGGTTCTGTTTTTGTTTGACATGTTTTGTGACAATCAATGGAATCGAAGGGTGCGAATAAGGCTGCTTATTCGCGCCCTTGACATCCTGCATTTCACATTTGACAAATCAATGGAATCGAAGGGTGCGAATAAGGCTGCTTATTCGCGCCCTTGACATCCTTCCTGCATTTCACATGAAAGAAGTGAATTCTTTTTGCCATTACATGTTTCAGACCTTGTCTTTTCGCACAATAGCACCGGGCGCTCCGTAGCAGTGCAAGCCTTCATGCTGGCATCCTGCAGTGCTCGCGTTTTGATCGCAGTGGTGTCCTGGAGCTTAGCAGTGCGGAACTTTGACATCAACATGAAGGGGTCACAGTTGATTTTTTCGAAATCTTGGAGTGAACTCCCAGCTGAACCTGCAGTAACATTGCCGTGGGAATCAGGTTGTTGGAGGCACATCATAGGTGGTAAGAGTTTGTTCAACTTGAAACCTGCTACCATGAAACGACCCATGCCGCCACCACTGTTTTATGAGAGTCCTGCTACAGCTCAGCTACCTCCTGAGAAAAAGCAGCGCGCTCAGAGTGTTGTTGCAACATCTTGGAAACAGGTAGTCAAAAGTGGAGTTGAAGACAGCTGGACGGAGATGAGAGACTCACAGTTTCAAATTGCTCTCGAACGGTGGTTAGATGTGCTTTTGCAGTTGCCTGACAGTTGCAGCGTCGTGGTACAGCTGAGACAAGTTGGAGATGTCTCACATCAGTTGAGGATGCTGCGTGACATTTTTTGTAGAAAGGCGCCTCAGACTTTGCTCAAGAGATGTCACTCCTTTTTGCGTTTCGTGCACCACCTGAAGCTCACAGGCAAATCTTTTCCAGGCTCAGAAAGTGACCTTTATGCATACTTGTGTCATCTTCGTGATTCAGGTGCCGCCACATCCAACTTGCAGAGCATTGTACAAGCTTTGAATTTTGCACAGCATGTTGTTGGATTGCAAGAGCTCATGACAATCACGATGTCAAGGAGATGCATAGGTGCTGTAGGCACCAAGAATTCTGGACCGAAGAGGCAAGCACATCCGTTCAAGGTTGCAGAGGTCATGGCACTCCACTCAGCACTGCACGACACTTTTGAAGACCCCTGGACTCGTGTTTTTGCAGGCACAGTGCTTTTTGCAATTTACAGTCGTAGCAGGTGGATGGACATGCAACATGCTGAGTTCATGGAGGTCGATTCAGATATGACTGGAGCTGTAGCCTTTGTGGAGCTGCACATTTCAGTTCACAAATGTCAAGAGTCAACTGCCTTTCGCAACACCTTTTTGACAGCTGTTTCACCGAACTACGGGGTCACTAATGAACCGTGGATACAGGTATGGCTGGACATCAGGCAACAACTTGGCATCGACTTGAGCTCAGGCCTTCCCACATTGCCAGCCCCAAACTCAGAAGGTGCAGCTACAAAGCGTCCATTGGGAACAGACGAAATGAAGCAATGGTTGCATATGGTGTTGGCCGCCAAAGGGATTTGTCTTGATGGCAGAAGGCTCACATCACACAGTTGCAAGTGCACCATTTTGAGTTGGCTGGCAAAACGTGGTGACGATTGGGCTGACCGCATGGCGCTGGGTGGACATGTCTCATTTATGAAATCTGCCATTGTTTACAGCAGGGATGCTATGGCTAGACCGCTTAGACTGCTGGAATCATTGTTGCTTGACATCAGAGTTGGACGATTTGCACCGGATGAGACAAGGAGTGGAAGATTCAAGGACATCTCTTCGGATGTTGCAGCCCATTGCATGCAATCCAATGAAGTGAGCTTTCAAGACGGCGCCGGTGATTTGTTCAGCCATCATGTTGAACCGAGTTTGAGTGTGCCGCCTGAAGTTGTTGACTTGGAGGCCGATTGCAACAGTGAAGTCAAGCTTGAGGATCAAGAGAGCAGCAACTCAGACTCCGATGCGCCCACCACCTCATCAAGTGAGGACGAAGAAGGAGCTCAGTACACAGGAGCAGCACGTTCAATGCGGTTGCCTACCATTCCAGACACCTTGAAACTCATTCAGCATGTTAAATACAAGACGTTACACCTCATGGAGAAACAGAATTTCAGAATCATGTTGTGCGGTCTCACAGCAACTGAAGGTAGGTATGAGGGAGCTTCAGTGGCACGCTTCGACACTCCGTGCTGCCATTGGTGCTGGAAGCACAAGAAGGACTATGAGTCTTGACATGCACACGCTGAGTTGCGGTGTTAAAAAAATTGAGTAGCCGACTTCATGTCACACCATGTCAATTGACGTTTTCTTTATGTCAGTTTGAGCAATGTCAACAGTGCATTTTTGAAACGTTCAAGCAATGATCACTGTGGAGTGAGCATGAAGCGTTCATGGAGGAAACCTGGAAACATATCCTGCCTCCAAACTTTGCAACGCCGTTCATGTGTCAGAATCTTCAAGTCATTGTGAAACCATTGCATGTCTTTGAACGTTTGCAGATGCGTGACTTGTAATTTCTAGAAGGTGTTGGCATGGCAGGCAAACTCAGAATTTTTTCTCGGACCGTCAGTTTGTGCACAGCAGTGCGGGCGGAAACGAACCGAGGAGAGAAATCACCGTGCATGACTTAATCATGAATAAAGGGTCATGCAACAAACAGCTTGATTTCATTTAATCTTTCAACAGACAGCTTCAAAAACATGACAACGATGTCACACGGTCATTAGAAAACTTTTTCATGAAAGCACAACGTACGGCGACAGCAATAGTATTATGTTTTCTTTGGTTTGCTATTGTATGTAGTAGAATCTCACCACCTGCCAATACGTGATGGCCCTGGTTGACTCGACAGCTTCTTTTGAGAAGCGTTGCAACGAGCTGCAAGACGGGTTGCATGAAGTCTTCAGTGACGCTGGTATCAACACCTTCTCGTCACTCGCTTTTGCAGTTGGCACGCCTCAGAGTGCACCAGCTGATGATGACATGCAGAGGTTTACAGACAGATTGATGGGCGGCCCAGCAACATTAGCAGATCTGTCTGTGGTCAAGCGCATTCACTTCGAGGCAGTCACTTTGGTCATGGTCGACCTCCAGAAGCATTCGTCAGCCCAAGACATTTCAGAACCAGGGCGTAGCCTACCGTTTGTCGAGAAACAGCGGAGACTGGCAGCGCAACAGGCCAGAATCACTGGGATCAGCCACAAGCACGAGCAGCAGGCGTCTCATGCTTTGATCGACGCATGTTTCCAGATGATTGAGAATGGCTCTTTAGTTTACATAGCCCCATCGAAGTGTGGGTCGCGAGATCAGGAGATACAACAGGATTCAAAGACAAGGCAGAAGCAGCTGATCACCGTAGAACAGGGAGCCTTGAAGACGGTTGCGAGTCCAAACCTACCTGTTGTTGACGTGGGTACGGAATTACGATTGATGTACGCCCTGCAAAGGCGTGGTTTGGCGTTTGACCTCGTAGGTCTTATGTCTTGGGAAACGCATACGGATTGGAGCAATAAGCTCTTCAGGGCCCTTATGGCTGATGCAATTCCGAACTTCAGCCCAATCTCCATTGACCAGTTGTTGCGTGCAGACCAGGAACTTTTCTTGCTCCTAGCAGCTGAGCACACTGGTGCGTTGAAAGCCGCTGCAGCAGACGCGGATCCACCTCTTGACCAAGAAGTTCGCAGGCTCATGAATGACCCCAGGATCAACGTCCATCTCACTCCGATTCAACGAGTTGAGAAACGACCAGCACCAATTGGCTCACCTTCCCAAGGGCCTCCAAACAGGAACAACACGAACAAGAAGCAGAAAGGAGAAGTGCCCAAGACACCTAGCCAGGTGCCAAATGAGCTGCAGGGGTTGCATACAAAAACCAAAGATGGAAAGCCTATTTGTTGGCGCAGAAACCTGAAAAGAGGTTGCCGCAACGCGGTGAAGAATGGGCGATGCCGATTTGGGTATCATACATGTATGAAGTGCTTAAAGCCAGGGCATGGAGCAGCAGAATGCAGTGGAGAAAGGGCCTCGTGACAAACCAGGCAACGCAGCCGCAGTCCGAGATCACCTCTGGTCAAGCCGTTTGTGAACAAGGACCTTGTGGCAAATACAGATATGCATGTTTTTTCTGACTCTGAGCCGAAAAACCACGGCGCTGAGCAAACTGGAGGTGGTAACAGTGTTTTGGCTGACGACCACATCTCTGGACCAAGTCTTTTTCGAGCCTCGCCTGAACTTGTCAGCGATGCGCTCCCAAGGAATTCAAAGCGATCCTGTCTTGTCCTGGAAGTTTTTTCTGGTAGCTGCAGGCTCTCAAAGGCCTGTCGCAATGCTGGCTTTAGAGTGACAGCAGTTGACAAGGATGAGACCAGGGCAGAAAATTTTGCAATTTACAAGTGCGACCTCACCAATGCCGAGGACCTCGCGCTACTTTTTCAATATGTCGAGGCCGAAAAGGAAGAGCTGTTGCATGTGCACTTTGCACCCAGCTGTGGAACGGCGTCCAGGGCACGTGAAAAAGCTCCTGGACCTCCTCCATTGCGATCAGACGAACACCCTGATGGACTGCCAGGGTTGAACGAACAAAATAGAGCCAGGGTCGCTGCAGCCAACGACAGTTACAAAGCCATGTTGGAGCTTGCAAAATATGTCATTTCTTTGAACATCAGCATCAGCATTGAGAATCCAAAGAACTCACTTTTCTGGAAATGCACATTTGTCCAAGCGTTCTTGCGGTGGTTGCCACAACACCACGTTTGCGAGTTTCAGCACTGTATGCACGGAGGTAAAAGAAACAAATTTACACACTGGTTGAGTTGCAACCCTCGCAATTTGCAAAAAGACATGTTTGAATCACTGCATCTCTTATGTGACCAAACGCACCAACATGCAAGTTGGGCATCTTTTATTGATGAAAACGGAAAGCAAGTTTTTCCTACCGCAAGTGAAGCAGCATACCCTGAGCTGTTGTGCAGTCGCATTGCATATATTCTCAAAGAAGAAGCTTTGAAAAACAATTTTCATTTTCCCAATGATTTGAATGAACAACTGTGTGTGGAACCTAGTGTGGCTAAACGTCAAGTTTTCACCACACAGCCAAGAGGAAAACGACTGAGACCACTGGTGTCAGAATTTCAAGCGTATCGCTCAGTGCTTTTTCCTTTGAATTGCGAACATGTCATACAACAATTTTTACAAGACCTACCACGAGGTTCCAGAATTTGTCATCGTTCTCTCACACATGGGGGTATTTTCTGGGATGACAATTCAGCAAAAGCGTCCAATGTGGTGGCACATGGTGACTGGATAGATGGGCAACCTGGAGAAATCATACATTTTGGCATTCCACGTGAACCTGCAGACTTTGTCAATGAAGCATTTGCCAAAGGGCATCCTAGAGATGTTGTTGCGAAAGTACCTCCGTCGGTCAAAGCCCTTCTGAAAGATTTGGTTGCCGGGAAAAGAGAAAGACGTTTTGAAAAGCGCGCCACTTTCATGAAGAAGTGGCTAAAGCGCTCCCTGGAGTTGCGCGCGGATGAGGTAAAGCTGCATCAGAAACTGCCGCCCCACCTGGGCAAAATCCTTAGAGGAAAGCGCTTGTTGCTCTTCAAAGAAATTCTCATTGATTTACAATACAAAGATGTTAGCATTGTGGATGATATAATTTCTGGTTTCAAGCTCACTGGATGGGCGCCTCAGACAGGCGTGTTCGACCCTGACGTACGCCGACCTCAACTGACGGTTGAGCAGCTTACCAAGATGGCTCCTGGGATTAATGCTCGGGTCATCAGATCTGTGGATGAAGCGCCAGCAGACCAGACAACTGAGCATGTTTGGGCAGAGACGTGGGCAGAAGTGGATAAAGGCTGGTTGCGGCCTGCTGATTCTTCAAAGGACTGCTCTGTTGCCAAGCGGTTCGGTTTGCAACAAAAGAACAAAATACGCATGATTGATGACTTCAGTGTCAGCCGAATAAACCATACTTATGGCATGCGGGAGAGACTTCGTCCAGTCAGTGGACGAGCTATGTGCGTATCTTGCCACCCTGCTTGACAACCATGCACCTTGTGAACTCCCGAGAATAAAGGGGAGAACATTTGACTTGCGATCAGCTTACAAACAGTTTGGTGTGGATCAATGGCACAGCGAGTTCCTTCAAATTTGCGTCAAAAACCCTGAAGGGGGTCATGGTTTATTTGGCGTCAATGCTTTGCCCTTCGGGGCAACTGGCAGTGTCACTAGCTTCCTTAGAGTGTCCAATGCACTGGCTTACATCGGACACCATGGACTAGATCTCATTTGGTCGGCTTTCTTTGACGACTACACTGCTATCTGCACAGAGTCTGAAGAGGACAATGTGACCTTTTATATTAAGTCACTCTTTAGAATGCTTGGCATTGACTTCGCAACAGAAGGAGACAAGGCTCCTCCATTTCAATCCAAGTTCAAGACACTGGGCTTGGAGTTCAATTTGGAAAACCTCAACACAGGGAGTTTCTTTCTACAGCACACTGAAAACAGGCGGAGTGAACTTGTCACCACTATTGATGCTTTGATGGAACGCAGTGGAGCGTCTCCTAAAGAACTGGAGAGATTACATGGTAGGCTTGTATGGTTCAATGCATTTGTTTTTGGACGTTTAATGAATCACGCTGTCAGAACTCTGTCAATGGCTTGTCACTCAAATGAGAAATTCTTGCCTTTCACTGTTGACCTGCGTTGCGCTCTTGAACAATTACGACGTTTGCTGATTGACAGTACGCCTCTGAGAATAAGTAAAGCGTTGGGCACTGCTTGGATCATATTTACTGATGGAGCTTATGAACCCGATTCTCCACACCCTTCCACTGTGGGAGGCATTCTAGTCAGTCCTTGCGGTGTGATCACCGAATACTTCGGAGAACAACTCATGCAGACACTCACTGAAGATCTTTTACATGAATCCAAACACCCAATCTATGAACTGGAAGTGCTGCCGCCACTCTTGGCTCTGCAAGCCTGGGGCCATTACATCACTGGAGCACCTGTCGTGTTCTATTTAGACAACGATGCAGCAAGGTCAGCCTATGTACAAGGTGTTGGATCAACTCGGATGGCAAAATTATTCACAAGACAATTTGTAGACCTTGAGAGCCGCTTGCAAGTGCTGTCTTGGTTCGGCAGAGTACCAAGCCACAGCAACCCCTCGGACGAACCTTCACGCTTAAATTTCAGCAGTGCCCTCTTGAAAAATTCCAAAAGAATAAGGATCCAATTTCCAGTACACTTTGAGGAAACCGGGGGTGGCTTCGGGTGTACTGGAGAAGCATGCCTGAAACAACAGGTCTCCAGCATACAAACCTGAGACTTTTCCCCATTGCCCTCGACAAAAAAGTGTGCTGATTGGAAACGTTTGAATTTTTTCACTACTGGCAATGTGTGATCAATTTGTGATGTATCAATCATGTCAGTGCATTCATTTGCTGTGCAAGTTCAGACGTCACTTTTATTTTTTCGGTTGGCGCTACGACGACGTAACCCGACATAGCGCGGCGTGATATATATATATATATGATACTTTATATGTACATATATATATATATGTTATATGTTGGGTTTGTGCAGCGTTTTGCTAATAGGGAAATAAGCTGGAACTCTTCGAAGAAGATGAAAGCCTTATTTCCCAAGCAAGCAAATTTTTGTTTAGCCAAACATTTGGCTAAGAAACAAAAAAGGTGCACAAACTTCTGGCATATCTTCTAGAGTATTTCTAGAAAGCATCTGACAAATTTGGTCAAACCTTTTTGACACCAACTCATTGTCCAACTCCGTATTTCATTGACAATTTTATAACACAAACTGTCAAACTTATTTAAACAGTCACACTGTGATCAATTAAATCATTTCAGTTGCGTCACTTGCATCTAATCTGCCTGATGTCAAGTATATATATCTCTGCAACTGTGATCATTCAAGGTGTGGGTGGGTAGGGTTCCTCAAACATTTTCATGAGGATTCAAAAATTCCCGCCCAATCTTCTCCCACCCTTGTTTCGAATCCTTTGTTTCACCCTACTTTATAGCCTCGTACTGGAGAAGCATGCCTGAAACAACAGGTCTCCAGCATACAAACCTGAGACTTTTCCCCATTGCCCTCGACAAAAAAGTGTGCTGATTGGAAACGTTTGAATTTTTTCACTACTGGCAATGTGTGATCAATTTGTGATGTATCAATCATGTCAGTGCATTCATTTGCTGTGCAAGTTCAGACGTCACTTTTATTTTTTCGGTTGGCGCTACGACGACGTAACCCGACATAGCGCGGCGTGATATATATATATATATGTATGATACTTTATATGTACATATATATATATGTTATATGTTGGGTTTGTGCAGCGTTTTGCTAATAGGGAAATAATGATGTCAGAATCGGCGGCAGCCGGCATTTCTGGCGATGAATGGATGGGCAAGACCTTCGACCTTAGCAAGGCTTACAAACAACTTGCCATTCTTCCTGCCCACCAGAGGCATGCAGTGGTAGGATTTCCTGTGAGTGGCACCTGGAGATTCTATCGAAGTATCTCCCTTCCTTTCGGTTGCACTGGTAGCGTGTATGGCTTCGTGAGGGTGTCACAAGCAATATGGTACATAGTGACTAGGCTGCTATCTGCAGTATCAAGTCATTATTTTGATGACTTCCCCACTTTGGAAAGAGCCCCAGGCTGCAGGGTGCTTTCTCTTGCGTTCAGCGCAGTGCTGGACATGCTGGGTTGGGGACACGCAAAAGAGGGCGATAAAGCGTTGAACTTTGCTGGTGCCTTTGACTTGTTGGGCGTGAACTTCAACCTTGCTTTGACTCCCAAGGGGATTTTGCAGGTCACCAACAAAACTACGAGGATCGAAAAGCTGTGCGCTCTTTTGGACAAGGTCAAGAGCGAGGACTCACTCAACCACAGGTGAAAGAAGGCCAATACTCTTGTTCACGGATGGTGCTTGGGAAGATGGCCAAGCGTCTGCAGGTGCCATTCTGGTTGATGGAGATTTTCGCATTGGGTGCACCATAACTGTACCCGACACGCTGGTTGCCCATTGGTTGAAGCATGCAGGTGAGCAAATCATCTCTCAGATTGAACTTTGGGCCCTCGTAGCAATCAGATGGCATTTCCGTGAGCGACTTGAAAGCCGCAGGTTAATCTCTTGGGTCGACAATGAAGCTGCAAGAGTTTGTGCAATAAAGGCTTCGAGCCCGTCGCCAGCCATGAGGGCTCTCACGAGAGCTCTGGCAGACATGGAAGTAGCATGGCCAGTTTTTGCTTGGACGGAACGCGTATGCTCGTTCTCCAATCCCGGAGATTTGCCATCGCGACATAAACTGAGTGAAGCCATGCGTCGCTTCAATGTTTCTGACGGGGGCATTGTTGACGCCACCGCCGAACTTGCCACAACAATAGTTGGACTCCATGAACGACCTTTTAGTGCTGCTCTCCTTTTCCACAGGGGCACAACACCTGAGCACCAAACACGAAATGCCAGTTGACAAAGTCACCTGGACATCGTCAGAAAATGCAGATCCAGCAACTGCATAGCAAAGCTCAAACCGTTAGTTGTGAAAACGCCCCAGACCAAGGAGCAAGCAGAAAAAGTGAAAGGCCGCACGGAACTCCATTCAGACACTTCATTTCAGTGATGTGAGCATGTTCATTTCGTTTTTCGGCGATCTCCTTTTTCTCCATGTTTAATTTCCGGCGTATTTTGCGTATCCCATATATTTACCTATATGCATATATACATATTTATATATATGCATAGGTATAGGTGGCGTATGCCTGCGTTTATGCACCTAAGTTGTTTCTTATAAGATGAGTGCTATCACGAAGTGAGAGCATTATCTTTGAAGGAAACAATTTGAAAAATTTGAATCTAACACTCAAACAAATTTTTCCTTAGGTGCAAAACCTGGTACTTGGCAACATCATGCAAATCATTTGCTCTGTTGCGTAATTTATTTTTCATGAGATTTTTTTAACACTGTGTTTCCAACCTTGCGTTTCAACACACAGTTTGCCATGTTCCCTCATGAACTCAATCCATTTTCATTTCGACATGGCCATTATCATCTCAAGGGTGAGGTTGAGGTGGGTTAAAAAAGAACACAGACAACAGTTCCACCTCCACAACCTCTTTTCTTTTGGCCCGCCCTCCCATCCCTTGTGGTGGGGGGGGCACAACACCTGAGCACCAAACACGAAATGCCAGTTGACAAAGTCACCTGGACATCGTCAGAAAATGCAGATCCAGCAACTGCATAGCAAAGTTCAAACCGTTAGTTGTGAAAACGCCCCAGACCAAGGAGCAAACAGAAAAAGTGAAAGGCCGCACGGAACTCCATTCAGACACTTCATTTCAGTGATGTGAGCATGTTCATTTCGTTTTTCGGAGATCTCCTTTTTCTCCATGTTTAATTTCCGGCGTTTTTTGCGTATCCCATATATTTACCTATATGCATATATACATATTTATATATATGCATAGGTATAGGTGGCGTATGCCTGCGTTTATGCACCTAAGTTGTTTCTTATAAGATGAAAACGTCTCACTTGAAACGGGGGGATGTCAGCGAGCCGTTTTTTTGCCAGTGTTTTTTAGGGTTGTGATACAGAGGGTTGTTTGAATCTAGCCTGAGCACACAGAACCTCTTCCGGCAAAAAAACCGGTCGCTGTCTTTCGCTTGCTTGTTTGCATGTCAGAGCAACTAGAGACAAACACACTTGAACGGTAAGGGTGTTCACTCCCTGGTGTTTAAGGTGTGGATTCAGTTTGCGCTTGGCCACACTGGGATGTAGTTGCTAGCTAATTATTTTTTTTGCTGCCCCCCCCAAAAATGTTTTTTTTCCACACCAGAAGTTGTCAAAAGACTTGGAACACTGTTGGAATCAAGCTGCCGCAGAAGATGAGTTTTCAGGTCAGTTGGAGCAGCGCATCAACGACTTGAACCAGAGGGCCGAGATTGCAGAAGGTCTTGTTGACCGCAACAAAGCTGAACTCAGAGATGAACTCATGCAAGTTAGCAGTGAGATCAGCATGACTCATGACCACACCTCTGGGATCCATTACTACATCGTGGAAAGCGGTGGCTATTTGAGGAATGGTCTTGGACTATCCCACCAACAGTGGATTCACTCAACAACTCCGGAGCGTGCGAATCTGGTTGCTCCGCAAACTATGGGATCAGTCGAATACATGCGATTGGTTCGTCGGCGTGGCAATCCAAATGGTCGTGCAGACAACACTGACAGTGGAAATGCGGGAGAATCAGAAAGCGGAACAAACGATCATGACATGGAGGTGGAACCAGCAGCTTCATCTTCAGTTTTACCCTCAGCTGTGCCACAGACAGTTGAAGGGATGGTGGAGCTTTTGAAAACTGAACATGCGATTTGTTTGGAACGCGGAGAATTCTGGGATGCGAATGCGATTCAAAATTTGATCCTGGAATTCTTGCAAGGAGTTCGGGATGGAATCAGCGATGTGATGCTTGCCAGGTGCAAAGGTCGTATGTTTGAAGTTTTCACAGAGCTGGGATCCAAAATATGTACCCGCCGTGAGGGTATGGATGTGTTTTTCTCTGGAAGTGGCTTGGCAGTAACAATCACTGCCAATTTGCTGATGCGAGATGCAACAAACATGGAAAATGGGACGCTTGATCAAATGAGGAGCGCGTAAGAGATGCATTCCCCTGCGCCAGGATGACACTGGCACAAATCGAGATGAGTGTGTAACAGTTGCAGACATTTGCACATGCAACTCAGCTGTGCTCTGTTCTACTCTGCTCGTCTACTCGGCTCAACTTTAATCTGCTCCACTGTGCTCCCCTACTCTACTCTAGACGCTGACAGGCTTATGACACAAGCTACTTTTATACCTCAGAAACGTGCAAACAGGACATCAAAACTTCTGGACTAGTTTTTTGCTCCACGAACATGGCACCTGGTCAGAATGAGTTCTGAACTACTTCCCTACGTCAAGAACATGCCAACTGGACTTAAAACCCTCTGAACTACCTTTCTACTTCAGGAACATGCCAACTGGATTTAAACACTTTTGGAAAATCATCCGCAAGTCGGCGTTTCTTTACGAAATTTCCTTTGATCATTATTGATTCCTTGCATTATTCCTCTTCTTTTTGTTCCCATCTCGAAATCGAATGCTGTGTCTGGTTTCCCCTGGTTTTTCTCCAATTGCCTGCCTACTTGTTTCCAATTGTCTCCCGACCTGTCTGCATTTGATTCTTCACTTGCTTCCTACTTGTCTCCTTGCTTTCTTTTCCTGGTTGTCTCCTTCCTTCTCCCCCTACCCGTCTCCCTCCCTGTCTCTGTACTTGTTTCCTTACTTGTCTCCCTGGTCTCCCTACTTGTCTCGCTACTGCTACGTGTCTCCATACTTGTCTCCGGACTTGTGTCCGTACTTGTCTCCAGAGTTGTTTCCGGAGTTGTCTCTTTATTTGTAGCCTTGCTTGTGTTTCTTCTTGTTTTGCTTTTTCCTTGCCTTGATCCCGGATGTTGTGCAAAGATCATCGTCAAACAATTCGATTTTTAGTACATCCTTTGGTCCATGGTTCTGTGGACTGGGACTCTCATCTGGAACCATAGAGCTCACATCACATCAGTGATCTTTACACCTTCATCCGTGATCTCCTTGTTTTGCTTGATCCCGGACATTGTGTTAGCCTTCTGACGCTTTGTCTTCCGTTTTCTCTTCCCTTCCTTCCCCTACTTCTTTCTCCTTCTTTGCCCTTTTCATGATCCTGTTGAAACGTGGAACAAAAATGCAACCCAATTTCGCCAGAAGAACCCCCTTAGGTTTTCTTGGTCATGATGCCAATAACACGGAACCAAAATTTGGCAACAGGAACGTTGTTCTGCAACTTTGACACCTATCTCTGATGCCAATTTTGTTCTGATGTTTGGAACAAAAGTGCTGACTTTTTGTTTCCGTTTTTTGACGATTGACGGGTGATAGTTTGCATGTCACGTGTGGCCAGCCATGCTGCAAGAAATTCCACACATGCATTTCGATAGTTTTTGGCTCCAATTATTTCACGCCGCACGTCTCTCCGGGACAAAACTGTTCGGAAACCCATTTTTTTTAACATAATGGTGTACGAATTGCCCAACCGCCAACATTTTCCTTAGGGACACCTTACTTGAAATATGAGGTGATCTGAGTCAGATCTGAGTCAATTTGAAATAGGCAGCCGGGAGACATTCCATTCGCGCCAAGGCCACCAACGCGAGATGTTCCGAATTTTGATTGCCGCGTTGCTCCTTTGCATTGCTCAGTCCGACTCTTCCCAGGAGCAAAATGCGAGGAATTGTGGAATATAGTTGTTTGTGGACCGGCCAAATAAACGCACCTCCAAAAAATTGACATCCACATTTTTCTTTGTTTGATCCCGAAAAAATTGAGAACAGGGTAAGGTACTTGACATTTCATTCTTCTTTTTGGTGGAAGGACGAAAATTGGTGATTGTTGTTGCTGTGTTGGCACAACCACCCACCGTGATGTCAGGAGTTTTTGTCTGTTCGGGTGTCCGAGAAATACATTGGCGTGTTGCGATCGAACAACTACTTGTTCTTCTTTTCCCATGAACTGCATGGTGAAAAAGACAATGTTCACATATTTCTTGCATCCATTTGTTTTTCAGTTCCACATTCTTCAGAATTAAAACCTATCTGATTGGTGCCTGGTTTGAGGTCCCAAAAGTGGAGAACGATGCGACCCAGCCAGAGGCTGGGTTTGGCTGGGTGCTGACCATGACTCCCTTATGATTTTTAGGGATGAATGTCCTGGAACTCAAATTCCGTTCTTACAAGACTGGGTTTGCCATGGCCATGGCAAAATCCGGTGTGGAATCTGTTGGGACCTGCACGCCCATGGGTCCCGAAAGTTTGGGGTTTGGA